AGCCAGACTGTTTTCTGGCTTCCGAGCACTGCAACTCTGGAGTAATAGGCACATGGCAGGAGCTGAAGTGAATGGCAGAAGTGGTGTTGTTGATCTACCTAAAGCTGTTAAGTTAAGATGCTCTGGAGGCTGGCTCTGCTGCCTGCTAGCTGGTGGTCTCGGAGTGAGCTTCTGTCCTCCTGCTCATTTTCACATGTACAGTGAGAGGCAGAAACTGTTTCTGCTGCGGTCGTGGGTCAGTAGTCACAGCTGTGCTGGCATTTCTGGCCTAAACATCAGTTACGAGACAGAAGGCCAAGCCGGATTCCCAAGACCCTGCATCCCAAGCCTTCGTGTGTCTGCAGCCTGCCTGACAGCATCTGGTATTCAAAGGTAGGCTCTCTGGGTTAGAGACCACAGGCTAGCAGGAGAATATGTGACCGGCGCTGCCCTTATGGCCTGCTGCCCTCTCAACACCTCTGAGGGCCCTCCAAGGATCTGCAGGAGCCAGGAGCGGAGTGCAGTCGGGGTGGAGTTCAACCTTGTACTTGTTCTCGAGAGTTGATGACTGGCTGCCAGAGAGCAATGGGGGCGACCTTGGCCTGGGCTGTGACACTCCAGAGGAGGTCTCCAAGGTCACCTCCTAGGTAACTCGGGCAGCAAGAAGTGCAGTTCTGCACCACCTGGCAGTTGACATGTTTGGTTCTCTGAAATGATCACTTCTTCTTATCCAACCAGAAAAGATGAGGTAGTATTTATTTTTAAAACAGAGTTAGTTCTATGTACTTTTTCATTTGATTGTAGAAGACCTTAGAAATGAAGGTGAGCAGGAAGAAGGAGCCATGTGTGCCTCTCACGGGGTGGCTGTCGGTGGGTAGGCCCAGTCACAAGCAGCGTGGCTGGTGTATTCTCTCACAGAGCTCCCTCCTGGTAGGAGGACTGGGAAGATAAACACAGAGCTAATAAGTAAGAGCCATGGAGAGAAAAACCAAGTCAAGGGGTTGAGACTGGGAATGAGGCAGAGGTATAACTTTATGTAGGTGACAGGAAGGAAGGGCTCTTGGGTGGAATGGATGTTTGGGAAGACACACTGAAGGAGGTGAGGGAGTCTCTGTGGACATCTGGGTGGAGCATTCAGGCAGAGGGACAGTGGGTATGTGAGAGGAAGCCTGCCTGGTGATGGGAAGGACAGGAGGAGGCCAATGTGCTGGAGCCCCAGTGAGCGAGGAGAGCAGAGGAAGAGGGCGCTGGCTCAGGGAGGGCAGCGCTTCTCTGGCAGATGCACATGCAGCTCCTGGGGAGCAGATGCAGATTCTGAGGCAGCAGGTCGAGATGGAGCCTGGCGTTCTGCATTTCTGCAGTGTCCAAGTGATGCTGCTGGCCCATGGGACCACACATTGATAGTAAGTGACTGGCGGTGAGGCGGGAAATGATGTAGCGCTGTTTGCTTATTTATTTATTTATTTATTTATTTATTATTATAATACTTTAAGTTCTAGGGTACATGTGCATAACGTGCAGGTTTGTTACATGTCAAATGCTTATGCTGTGCCATGTTGGTGTGCTGCACCCATCAACTCATCAACACCCATCAACTCGTCATTTACATCAGGTATAACTCCCAATGCAATCCCTCCCCTCCATCCCCATGATAGGCCCCAGTGTGCTTGATGTTCCCTTCCTGAGTCAAGTGATCTCATTGTTCAGTTCCACCTATGAGTGAGAACATGCGGTGTTTGGTTTTCTATTCTTGTGATAGTTTGCTAAGAATGATGGTTTCCCAGCTGCATCCATGTATTCTAGGGACACAAGCTCCCCATCCTTTTTATGGCTGCACTGGGAGATTCCATGGTGTATATGTGCCACATTTCTTAATCCAGTCTGTCACTGATGGACATTTGGGACAGTTCCAAGTCTTTTAACTATTGAATAGTGCTGCAGCCAAGCATCGTGTATGTGTCTTTATAGCAGCATGATTTATGTCCTTTGGGTATATACAGCCGGGATAGCTGGGTCATAGTACATCTGGCTTCACATCATGAGGAATCGCCATACTGTTTTCCATAATGGTTGAACTAGTTTACAATCCCACCAACAGTATAAAAGTTTCCTATTTCTCACATCCTCTCAGCACCTGTTGTTTTCTGACTTTTTAATGATTGCCATTCTAACTGGTGTGAGATGGTATCTCATTGTGGTTTTGATTTGCATTTCTCTAGTAGTGGCCTTTGTTTTAAGGATGCTGGGAGCCCTTGGATTGCTCTAGCTCCGAACAAGTTCCTCCTGACTTACTAATTTAAAAGGTGCACTGCTGCTGGTTGGGCTGTCAGGGAGACAGGGTGAAAGCAGTTTGAAGCCTACTGGAATATCTCAAAGAGATGGGTGTGGTTGGGATGGTGGCAGGAGAGGATGGTGGAGGGGAAGGAGTTAGTGCTGGGTGTTCTGAAGGGTGAGAGCCACAGGTTTGCTGACAGTCTGCACGTGGAGTGTAGAGGAGGAATCTAGGATGAAAGAATTATCAGCCCAATGAGCAAGGAAAATGCAAACATTCACTGGCTGAAGATCCGTGTTGCGGAAAAGTCCCAGGACTTGGTATGTTTCAGATGTGAATGAGACATTTGAGGCCAGATTTGATATGGAGGAAAGGTCAGGCGGGGAGAATTGTCAATATGATCAGAGATTAGAGAGGGCAGGGAAAAGGGGGATTTGAGGCTGAGCGCCTGGGGCACTTCAGCACTTGGAGGCAGAGAGAGGAAAGGTACCCAGTACAGGGCACTGAGAGGCAGAAGTCAGTGAGTGAAGAACAGCATTTTTCAGCTTCAATTATTGCTATCAGTTACCTACTGGGTTACAAGCCACCCCCAAAGTTTAGTGGCTTAAAACAACAATGTATTCCTTCTACAATTCTGTAAGTGGACTGGGAGGTTCCTTTTGTATCCCGGTCGTTATCTGGGGTAATGGTAGGCTGCCTTGGCTGGGCGGAGCCTCATTGGCCTTGTTCCTGTCTGGGATTTGGTCACTGTCATGGATGCGGCAGCTTCATCCTCTCCTCGATCCTTCCTCTAAGAGTGCAGCCTGCTTCCTCACAGTTCGCAGCTGGAGTTCCATGGGAGACAAGCCCCGGGAGCTGCAGGGTCTCTCAGGACCTCCACGTGGAACTGTCAGAGCATCCCTCCCACCAGAGTTATGTAGCCAGCTTAATACAACCAGCCAGGGTCCTCCTCTGGACAGAGCAGCGTGCCATCACGTGCGGGTATGGGAAGGAAGAGTTGGTAGCCATCTATGTGACCACTTTTTACAGTTAAGAGCTTTCTCCAATTTACAATTTTACTACTCTGCGACCTCTGCCTCTCAGTGCCCTGTACTGGTGTCTTTAATATTCTATTCAAGTGAGACTTAGGCCGAGGCTGCCAGGTACTGGGTATTAGTCTTGCTCTTCCCCGCCAGCCAGTGAATGCTCTTTAGTAAGCCATTTTATTTGTTTGGGTTCAGTTTCCTCATTTGTTCCACCTGGAGTTGACAAGTCGGTGAAATTGGAACCCAGCACTAGATAAGTTTTTTTAAAACCAAAGTAGACTAGCCGGGTGTCGTGGCACACGTTTGTAGTTCCAGAAACTCAGGAGGCTGAGTCAGGAGGATCGCTTGAGCCTCGGGAGTTCAGGCTGTAGTGAGCTATGATGGGAACCACTGCACTCCAGCCTGGGCTACAGACCTATCTCCACAAAAAAGTATCATAAATAAATAAACAAAGGAGAAAATGCAGGTCAGAAGTCGAGCACTGTGCAGGGCATGTGTTATGCTAGTAGATGTCCTGATTCTCAGCCCTTGGTACACTCCCCTGTCTTCTCTGGCAGACAGCAGCATTCCCCAGCAGGGGCTGGTGGCTGGCCACGCAGAAGGCTCCTCTAATGGCAGGCTCCTCCCTCTGCAACCCTACAGCTCAAGGGAAAGAAACTTTAACATCAGAAAGAACTCAAGGAAACCAGTTTTTCAAAACCTCTCTTCCCCTGTGTTTACCCCTTTGTTATGAATTTACTTCTTGGATGTCGAAATATTTAAGAACTTGGTGGAGACCAGTTTTATAAGTTTCTTCACTGTCCTTCCTGGCTCCACAGCTGCAAAAACATCACCCCCACTACTGAGCTTACTATGAGGCCACGCAAGTAGACGTTTGACAGACATTGTCTGATGTATTCCTTACTGCAGCTCCCCCACCCCGCCGTCCCGCCCCCAGGAAGCATTACTTCGTTTTCCCAAAGAAGCGAGGCACAACTCAAGTTAAAGACTTGCTCAAGTCACAAGAATTTGAACTCAGGCCACAGACGCTGGAGCAACTGGATAAAGTCCTCATCGCCCATATCACCCTACCGACCCCAGAGCCGGCCCCGCCAGGGCGGAGAGGCCGGCAGCTGGGGGAGCTGGGGCACATGGGACCCCAGACCACGGACTCAGGCCTGCGCAGCCTCCTAGAAGCTTCTGGGCTACCCGCCAACCTCCTTCCGCTGAGAAGCCAGAGAGGTTACTCCTCAGGGCGCACAAAAAGCATAAAACCTTACTTCAGCCTCTGAGATGGAACTAGTGACTATCGTCTGCCCAGGACCCAACAGTGCGCTTGGGTGCACCAGCCCTCTTAGTGGCGGTGCTGGCTCCCTCCCGCCTCCTTCCCTCCCAGAGGGCCCCCTACTTCCTGGGCCGCACGTGCCTCTGGCAGCTCGAAGAAGCGGTCGGGGCTTGCAGAGGCAGCGCAAACTAAACCACAAAAACAGGCCGGCGCGAGGAGAGCGTCCGGGGAACTGCAGACCCGCGGGAGCACAGCGCCTGGGCCAGGGCCTGGGAGCCTGGGCTCCGCCCCGCGCCCCTCTGCACCCCTTCCCCACGCTGCTCCCCTCTTCCTAAGTGTCCCCCTCTCCCGGGCAGCAGAAGAGGTGGGACTCGGGCAGGGCTCCGGGAAGGGCCCTGGAGGAATGGATGGTGGCCGAAAGGGCGGAGCAGGGCAGGGCCCGCAGGAGACTCAAGGCGCCCCGGGCGTGAGGCACCCACTCTGGGAGCACAGAGAACTCAGGTAGTCGGGCTAGATGGCGGCGCGCAGCCTGGGCCGCGGCGTCGGGAGGCTGCTGGGCAGCCTGCTAGGGCTCTCGGGGCAGCCCGCGCGGCCGCTGTGTCGGGTGAGCGCGCCGCTCAGGGCGGCCTCGGGACCACCTCGGGCGCGCCCCGCAGTTGCCGCAGCCTCACAGCCCGGCTCGTACCCCGCTGAGTGCACAGGCAGCCCCGGGAGGCCGGCCGCCTTCTGGGGGCCTCTGGCGCGAGACACTCTGGTGTGGGACACCCTACCACACCGTCTGGGACTGCGACTTCAGCACTGGCAAGATCGGCTGGTTCCTGGGAGGCCAGTTAAACGTCTCTGGTGAGTGGGCTTCAGGGAGACCCAGGACGCCCCCAACTCTTGCGTCAGAGGAACCGGAGCCTCTCGCCTGCAGCTTGGCGTCCCCGAGCTGCGCCCAGATCGCACCCCCTGCAGGGCCCCTCCTCAGTATTCCGTCCGCCCCGCCAGCTCTAAGCAGTGGCTCCACGTCACCCCGTCCCTCATCCCATCCGGCCCCAGATCCAGGTGCCCAGCTCGGGCCAGTGCCCGCGGGGACCCGGTGGCCGCTTGGGACGCCCCGCTGCTGGCCTTGCTCGGCGCGGCTCCTCGTCTGCTGACTCCAGGATTGCGTTACCGGGTGCATAGCGCCACTTGGGGGGCAAAACCGGCGAGGCCGCCGGGCTACGCCAAGCGCCCTGGTGTTGGGACTTTCCCGTTGCTATGCCGGGGAATTTGGACGGAAAAACAAAGCAGTGGCGGTTATCACTGGGGGCTGCAGTGCCGGGGATCAGCCTGAGGACAAGCCCTGCCCACATAAACAAACAGAGCTGTGGCGGGCGACCTGGGGAGGAGGAGCGGCGTGGCAGCTGGAACCAGTTATTTCCTCGCTGTGGGCCTGGGGCCTGTGGGCGGGAAGGAAGTAACAGCAGCCTCCGTTCTTGTTCTCGGCCTCAGAGGAGCACACACCCCAGCGACCCAAGGCCTGCTTTGGACGCGGGAGTCTGAGGTTCGGTGGTCAGTGGTCTGAAACTTGCTGGCAGGAGGCCTCTGCTGCTCCTGCTAAGATTTGGGGCTGGGAGTCGTGCACACCTCGCCCCCCCACCTAAAGCTGACTGGGCAGCGGGGAAACCCTGAACTGCAGGCAGGGCTGGCCACGCAGGAGTGGAGTGCCAAGTGCAGGTGGGCCCTGGATGCAGGGTGGGCCTGGGTGTGGGGCCTGCGGGGAGGGCCTGGCAGACACGGTGTTGATCAGAGGGATGCAGGCCAGAAGGGTGGCCGCAATCAGCTTGCTGGATTTGGGAGTGTTTGAGAAAGGACTTGAGGGTCTTTATGGCAGGGTCACAGGGCCCCATTTTCTCCAGCTCCTCCTCAGTTATCCCTGTTGTTCTGCCCGCTAGTCCTCAGTGTCCTCATTGTGAGGATGAGGGGCAGTCATGCTCAGAGGTTAGGCTAGTGCTGCAAGGTATGCAGCGAGGCCAGCTCTTACTGGTGACCCATAGGCAGTAGCGATTTTAGTTTAACTTCAGATATAGCCATACAGTTGTAGGTAGTGTCTTGTAGTTAGTTTTCAAAGAAATTGAAAGGAACTTTGGACCTCCCCCCGATATTGTATATTACTTTGCTGGTTTAATTAAAATGAGTCACTTACTAGATAAGTGTTTTCTTTAACCTTGAGTCAGCAGCAAGTGCCCTTTAACTACTGGGAAAAAAACCAAACCCTTTGGTTTGCAGAGTTGGTGCCATGTGCCCTTGAAGGGGACTAGAGCAGCTTGCCCAAGGACAGAAATGGAAAGTGACCTGCTCTGGACTTGTGAGGCCAAGGTCATGGGGAACATTCACAGTTGGCCTGTGCACAGTTGCAGCCCCACTCAGATAAGACAGTGGGGCGGACCTCCTGGGAGCCAACAGCAAGGACCTTCTGAACCTCGCTGGAGTCAGGATCAGGTGTAGTCATGTAATGGTCTTCTGTCTCCTTTTCCTTCACTTATTTCTCTGATAATGCTGGCCTTTACGGCTACCTTAGCCAAATTGAGCTTCAGAAAACTAACTTTGCGTAACAGCTTTTCCAACCTTTCTACAGGATGTATGCTTACACCTGTTCCTTGCGATTAGCAATATCTCTCTCCTTTGCGGTGTCTGCAAACCATAGTGGGGACAGTACTCAGAAGGGCCAGGCCAGGCCATGACTCCTCTGGGAGCCCCTAGAAAGTCATGGGATAGAGTGAGAATTACTTTGGCCTGATCTGTCAGCTGTGTGTGATAAAGTCAGGTGGCTTGTTCCAAGATGTCACTCTTGAAAGCGAAACTTCACCTCACTCCTTCAAGAATACTGGTGGTTCTCAACGCATGAATATCAGACCAGCAGCATCAACATACCTGAGAACTTTTGAGAAACAGAGATTCTGGAGCCCATCCTGGATATGTGGGAATCAGAAACCCTGGGTGAACCTAGCACTGTGTTTATAGAAGCCTTCAGGTGCTCTAGAGACATCAGGCTCCCAGAACCACTGGTCTGTAGGCCTCAAAACAGGGCAAAGAATCAGAGGCGCCTACAAACAAATTAAGGATTAGTGCTGACCAGCAGCCTGTTAAACAAACAGCAAACAAACAATAGAGCTGTGGATGGTGCAACACTTACATTTGTGGCTCCAGGTATCTTTGAAATCAGGACTCGGGTTGATTTCTTGCTTTCCCTGTACACTTGCTTTGCATGTTTCCTCATCTGCAAAACAAGAGGCTGATATGTAACTGAATTATGTCCTAGTTACTATCGATGCACATCAAACCACCAAGCTTGGTGGTACAAGATAACAACAGTTTTATATTCTGCATGGGAGTCTGTAGGTCAGGACTTTGGACAGGGCCAGATGGGGATGACTTGTGTCAAAGATGAAATTCCGACAAATTTAGTTTAAAGATCTTAATTCACTGTTTTCATGATTATAGTATTGGGAAACACCTAATTCCATAAAACAGAATGAATGTTTGATAAGTTGAGCAGAGGGAGGATGGTTTATAGACAGAAGGGTCTGAAGAATGTGGACACGGAGAACAAAAGTGGACTGGTTATTTCAAAGCTACTTTTTTTGCTGTAAAGGTAGAAAGTGGAAGAGCTCCTTACTACGCCAGCTTGTTTGGAGATTTAGCTATCTCTCACCACTCCTTGTTCTTAGAAGGCTGGATAAACAAGCTTAGTTTCCATTTAGGTGACCACGGCACTTTACTTAAGAGTGACTCCATTTTTGTGTGATCTATTGGGCCTGGTAGGCTCAGTCTCAGACCAGTGGCCTCTCCTATACATTTTATTTAACACTTGCTTCTGTCCTCAATATCAGGGTTGGAGTCATCTGCTGTTCTAAGTCCTAAGTCTGGGGCCTGGTTTGGGACAACTTGCAGGCTGACTTCAAGCTAGAACCTGTGACAAGCACACTCCTGGGGCTTGTCACAGTGTGAGTGGCTAGGCACAGGCAATGTCCGTGTGCCAGAGGTCAAGACCAGCACAGACACTATTAGGCATCTTCTGACCTGGGAAAGGGGACACGAAGCTGTTTACCTGTTTGTTATCCATCGGAGTATCTGTCAACACACATATCCCAGGGCTGTTAAAACCAAAGCACTTATGAGCACTCAGCACTTTCTTAACACATTATACATCCCTAATCACTGGCCATTTGTGTATTTATTAATGAAGCATGTGGGAGGCTATGACCTTGTGCTTGGCCTTCCCAACAGTGCTGCTGAAAGCTGAGCTTCATTTGAACTGGACCACGTGAGCTTGCATCTGATCAGCCTGCAGGATCGGTGGGGAATGGCTTGGAGCATGCAGGTGGCTGAGGTGGCTTTCAAACACACAGTATCCTGCCCATCCGCAACTCCAGCTGGCCAGACGAGGTTATGGTGTCTGAGGCCCACCGGGCAGGGTAGACAGAATGTCTGTGCCCTTCTGTGACTTGCTTCTGTGCAGCTGCCTTGCAGAAGGTTCGCTTTGGAAAGCCAGGTTCTAAAAGGGTTCTTTCCCACCTGTGAAATTTGGCTCTGTCACTTTGTAGGGCTCTGCATGTTTGCCCTGTGGCATATCAACTCAAGATATCAGGAAGTTGTAAATGCAGAACCAGAGGGTAATAAGCATGTGTTACTTTCAAAACACACAGCTAAGCTCTATTTTTTTAAACCCCATTCCAGTGATGTTTTCCAGTGTGTGTACTCTTAAGCAAGTGTAAAAATCCTCTTACTCTTTGTAACCAAGCATTGAGCACTGGGAAATTTCTTGGATGCTTTTTGGAGATTAATTGCAGTAATAGAGGCCCTTTTGCTGTGGTTTCTCTCTGTGGCTGTAGTTTCCTCTCTGTGGCATGCCTCAATAGTTCAGAAAGGCAGGACACTGGCGGCAACTCTAGGCAGCTGTGTGCCTGTGCTTCATTTTCCTCCTAGTCACTCCAGTGATTCCGTGCCTTTTTAAAGGTTTTTCCAGGTATCTAGAAGAACCCCTGTCCAGGAGGAGGTCCTCCCGAGGTCAGTCTCTCTCCAGCTGTGGAGGCACAGCACTTATTTTAAATAACAGATGCTGGGAAAATTTTCCAAAACAATTTTGTGACTGACGTAATATCTCAAGCGTGCCAGGGAGGAGCTGCTATTAAAGAAAGTCCATTGTGGGCCAGGGGCCGGGGGCTCATGGAATCTAGTACTTTGGAGGCTGAGGTGGGCAGATGAAAGCCGAGCTCAGGAGTTTGTGACCAGCCTTGCAAAACAGTGGGGCCCCCACCTCTTAAAGAACCAGCTGACATAGTGGTGCACACCTGTAGTCCCAGTTACTTGGAAGGCTGAGGTGAGAGATCCTTGAGCCCAGGAGGTGGAGATTGCAGTGAGCTGAGATCACGCCACTGCACTCCAGCCTGGGCAACGGAGTGAGACCCTGTCTCCAAAAAAAAAAAAAGCCCGTGTGAATAGTAACTCCTATTCAATTGAATTTCCATATATTTAGGTTCCACTTTCCAGTTAGGGTGTGTAGTGTGAGGATGTAACAATAACAACAAGAGTGAAGATTCCTATGTGTGTGTCAGGTTTATAATGGAAAATGCCAATACTCTTATAATGATTTTAAACAAAATGCAAACCCCTGCTCCAGCCACGGGCATTGGCCACAACCACCTCCAGCTGCAACTGTGCGAGGCCTGGACGGGCCCTGGGCATCATGAAGCACGATGGAGCGCCCTGGTGAGACTGACCCTCTGCTCTGCCATGGCTTGTTGCATCCTCATGGCACCCAGCGTGGGCGGATTTGGTGGTCGCGTGCACAGATGTGGAAATAAAGGGCTCCAGTTCATGTACAGCATTAGATAATCCAGAAAATGCTCAATACCATAGCCCATTCATGAGAGATGAACCTTAGAGTCAGTAAATGAGTAAGTCCACACTGGGCTGGGCAGGGGATTGTGATGTAATTCCCAACCTGGTCCCCATGTTAAGGAATCTTGGGGTTCACGGTCCTGCCGTAGGGAGTGGCATTGTGTCCCATGGTGGGGACACTGGGCAGCATAGACAGTGTGAAATGGTCTGTGAGGCCACGGCAGAAGTACAGATAAATGTGCTGGGAAACTTAGGAAAGGCTGAAATAAAGTGGAGTTTCAGCTGCATAAATTGCCATAGGTCCTTGCCCATCTCTTTTTGAAATGCTGAAAGTAAATTTTCTTTGTCCCTGCCTAGTTCTTTGACGGATTTTTTTTTAATTTTCTTTTCCTCCTTCCTCTCTTCCCCTCTTCCCTCCTCCTTTCCGTCGCCCTCACCTTCTTACCTCCTTCCTCCCTCTGCAGCCTTTTCATCCTGGGGGTGAAGCATCAGCAGGAACCATAACTATGTCTGAGAGCCATGTGCACATGGGTGTCAGGAGCCTATCCCCCAAACCCCACAGGGCTTTCCAGGTGCTTGTGTAGTCAGGCATCAGCCCCGTGGTAGCTAGAACAAAGACAGGGGAGGGTTGTTCTGTTGTCTTCCCGGGACACCTTGGCTCATCAGACCCACAGTCAGCAATAATCCAATGGCACCTAATCCTTTAGTCCCACCCAGACCAAGGATCATTATACCCACTCCAAGGATTAGGAAATGGGCTTGGATTAAATGATATGTGCATTGTCTGTAGTTGGTAGTCAGCTGGACAGGGGCTGGACTTTGGACCCTGAAGATTCGTAATGCTCAAACTGTATCCTCCTCCCTGGAAGAAAAAAAAACCCTGTCTGCCTCTACCTTAAAAAATGGTGTGGTCAGGTCAGTTGGGACCGTGGTTTGTCACTGGGATCTTGTCAGAAATGCAGATGCCCAGAGCGGGGCGGGGGCACACCAGCTCAGCTAACACACCTCTGGGGATTTTTCTGATGCCACTCAAGGTTGAGAAGTGCTGATTTGGGCCAAAGGGCGTCTCTGCATGAGGATGAAGCTACAAAGACAGAAAGATCTATCCCTCCTTGGGTGTGAGAGACCACCTGTCACTCAATTCCTCCCCAGTAGGACCCTTTGGCTGAGGCGCAGTGTCTGTTTCTCGGCTCTGTGCTCTGGACTAGGCTACCTGAACCCAGACCCCAGCAGACATGAGCAGTGCCCTCGGGGAGTGCAGCAGGCAGCGAGCATCCTGGAAGAGTTGGGGGATGCACAGAGATTCCTGGACAGTGAGGTGCCGGGGGAGTGGCGCGTCGGGCTAAGACACAGTGTGGGTGTGAGGGCTGGCGCCCCAGGCAGGAGAAGCCACAGCAAAGTCCCCAGGGCAGGGGAGCTCACCAGACGTGGCCTGGCCAGCAGGGAGAGGCAGGTCACTGGGGCCTTGGTGGCCACTTTTTGACACACCTTCTGCATGTGGTGAGGCACCTGGGGACACTGTGTTTGGGGCTTCGTTCTGATCTGTTGGACTCAGGCCACCTGTCAGTCCTGGAAAGACAGGGACACGTGGCTTATCTCACGGGCCACCCAGCCGCACCTGGGTGCTGTCCATCCTGGGGCTCGCCTGCCCTCTCCACCTTCCTCAGCTCTGCCTTCCCACTGTAGTATAAAATGGTACAGGATGTCATGCTTGGCTGGGTAGTTTGTAAGACCTGTTTGAAGTCAGGCAGGTCACTCTCTCTGAGAGAAGTATATAGTGCCCTGGCTGCTGTGGGAGCAGGTGAAGCAATGAGATGAATGTAGGCCAAGTGTCAGCGTGGTTCCAGCCCTTCCTGCTTCGTCCTGGCACAGGGCCTTGGGCGAGTCACTGTGCCATTCAGGCAGCATTTCTCATCTCGCCTGGGCAGGCCGCTCTTCTGGGGGGCTCCGGGGTCAAATTTGGAGTGGAGCAAGTGTGTCAGGCAGAGCTTTTCCAGATGTGAGAGTGGGTTCACATCTCCTGGAGACTTCTTATGAGGCTGGTTGGACTCAGGTCTGGAGTGGGACCCAGCGGTTTGCATTTGTGACCAGCTCCTGGGGGATGGCGGAGTGCAGACAATGTCGATCCTCAGCTGGGCATTCCCAGGCTTGTCATAGCTGCCCAGAGTCACTGGAGGTGACAGGCAGGCAGCGGTGTATGGGACTCTCTATGGAGGGATGATCTCCTGCTGATTATTCAGAAATAATCCATCACTTTCATGTGAAATCTCTTGATTTGTAAATATTGGACTGGATTCACACGCCCACACACCCTGGTCAGGTGTAGCACATCTGTATACTGGACTCAGCCTAGGGACCACGTTATGTGCATCTGTCGGTTGTACCTGTGTTTTAATTTTCTCCCTGGCAGTTGTGTTGTTTTTCCATCTCCTTCAGGGTTTACATGCCTCTCGCCTGCCTGAATTGGCCTCACTATTATCAACTGTTCTGCTCTCCCTGTCTGTAAGACCAAGCCCGATTCTTCCCTCCTCCCCTCTTCCCCCACTACTGACAAGCTTGCGCTTCCCTCCCACTTGTTGCATAGAGCAGTTCTCCTGCCTGAAGTGAAGAATTGGACTGTTATCAGGTGACTTTGGAGGGTAGGATGGTGGGAGAGACTGTGGAGCCAATCTACCTGTGTTGAATCCAGCTCCCCGCCTCTGTGTGACCTTGGGCAGGCAGGTTAACTTCTGAGACCTCTGTTTCCCATCCTTAATGGGAGATGCAGTGGTATGGTGCTGTCTCTGTGGAGGCTCTTGCAGTAATTATTGTTTCAGCCCAGGCTGCTCTTGCTCCCTAGGGTTTGCCTCCCCAGGGGTAAATTCATCCATTCCCCATTTGGACAAGTGTTATGGGCCTGCCACCACCCGACCTTGTGTGTTTGGTCACGCTGCATGTTTCTTACGTTTGCATCTGTCTCCTGCACGCACGACAGGGGTTTGAATCTGCCCTGGCGGCTACTCGAAGTGCTCAGCGCCTGGTGCTTGATCAGGATTGGCACCCAGGACTGGATACAGTTCGCCATCTCGGGGTTGTGTCTCCTTCTCTTGCTCCCTAAAGACTGCAACACCCAGCAAAACATTGTGGAGTTAATGCTGCCTTGGCATAATACAGTAGACAGAGTTAATATTACCCCTCCCCCAACACACACAGAGATGTCAGGTTCCTTGTGTAATTTCAGGTCTGCCACTGAGCCCCTTCTTAGTTTGTCTTCTTGTTTTATTTTCTTTTACATTTTTAGGAGCCATTTCTTCTCTTTTATTTTTCTGTTAATAGTAGTTCAAAGAACTTTCCTGTATGTCTATTGCTAGTATTAATAATTTTTCCTGACATCTGTCTTCATTTATTACATTTTTGAGGTGTAATTTACAAACAGGATCACAGGGGGTGACCCTGAGAGACTAGGTGGGCAGGTGCTGCTGCCCCAAAGTCAATCACGGGGCTCATGTCCCTCACATCTGAGGACCCACCAGTGGGCCCAGTGATGAAGGCCCAGCAAGGGTTGTCAGAAGGGCTCAGCTTTGGAATCAGCCAGTATTGACCAGTCTGCTGTGGAGGAGCCCGTGCTGCTAATCCTCAGTCTCACAGTGTGCCGGTATGCCGCAGAGCTGACTGTTTCTGCCAAAGGGGTCATGTGTGAAGCTTGGGTAATGGAGAGGAGGAGCTGAGCCTTGCAAAACTAAGGACATTTCCGCATCATGAGCCACTTCTTGGGTGAGGCTGGTTTACTGGGTACTGGTGGAACATGTGGGAGGTTAGGTCCTCATCCTTCTTACCTTAACCTTAGAGGCAAGACATCACTGAGGCAGATGAGGAACTGCAGGAGCCATACAAACAAGACAACCTGTCTGTGCTGAGTGTTCTCCAACAGCTCAGGCTGCACTGCCCAGCCCTGGCTGCATCAGACCAGCCTTGGTGTGCCCCGGGAGCTTTGAAGGCCCAGGGCCCATTGGGGTAGGAGTCTCTAGGGTAGCCCAGGGTCTGTCTCACAGCCAGGGTTGGGTCCATTGTGAAGCAACCACTTCAGAATATTTGCAGGACATCACCTTATACCTCTGAGATCATGTTTGTTCACCGTTCTCTTTCAGAGGGAGTAAAAACATCATCACTGATGAGACAGAGTCCTGTCAGTGGGGAGAAGAAGGCCACAGCAAACTAGACCCCGCTCCAAATCCCTCACCCTGGCCGAATTCTCACTCCAAAAGCACCAAGTGTAACATCTGTAAACTCTCTTTTTGTACAGTCAACTGTAGACCAGCATGTTGGAGTCCCCGAGGCGTTGCGTTGATCAGGGCCCGATGAGCCTGGAGACGGAAGTGAGGATCACCTAGGTACTGTGTGCTCAGATGTTCAAGGTGCAAGGGAGGCACCCAGCTGAGTCCTGTGTACTGTAGTGGCTGTCAGGGAGGGGCTGTGTGAGTCTCAAGGAGTGCATTTTGGCTTTGCAAATGCTCTCTTATCCAGGAAAAGTAAACGTGAGCATAAGCAGAATGAAACACAGTAAAGCTGATCTAGCCTGCCACCAGCCACACTCTCAGTGCCTTGTGAGGGTGGGACAATAAATAAAATCATCTTTAGAAGAGTTATTTTGTTTTTAAGCTGATCTTTTTAGTCTCTGATTCCTTAAGCAGATTCTATGTGCCCAGCATGTTTCAGATGCTGTGTGCGTTGGGAGTTGCTGGTCTTCCCCAAGCTGCTTCCTGTAGGAGCTGCTGTCTTCGGTGCATACCTTTGTTCTCCATACAAACCCCCTTGCCTGAGGGCTTACTTTACCCTTAGAGATGCCTCAGACCCACTGTACCCTAAACTGTGAGTTCCTAAGTCCCCATCACACAATCATCCAGCGTGATTACTCTCCTGAGGCAGCTCCAGGGTCTTCTTGTCAATTACTTAGAGTCTTCACTGGGTGCCTTCGTGTTGATATGGGCTGGGGTATGTTGCAGTAACAAACAATCCCTCAAGCACATGGCAGAGCATGGCTGGGTGGCACTGTGAGCTGAATAGTCTGACCTCTTGGAGGAGGCAATGTTTCAGCTGAGGTCTTATGGGCCAAGAGGAGCAGTCCTGAGGGAGACAGGGGCAGACCTGGTCAGGGAGTCCCAGAAGTAGAGGAAGGTGCACGTGGCTGGGACACGGGAGGCGAGGAACGTGGAGGAGGAGCATTCCGACAGGCAGATCCCACACACTGGGCAGCCTGAGAGCAGTAGTCACTGCCCTGCCACTTTCGGAGTGACCTGGGGCGAAGGGGCACTTGTAGTTTCCTGTTTGTTTCTTGAACTCCAATTTTATCACAAATAAATTCACCAAACCTGCTAAAACTGCACTCATGCCGACTATTGGATACAGACAAGTGATGCTAGTGGAGTCTGCTGCGGCTCCCAGTGGGCCACTGTCATGCTTGTTCCTCCCTCAGCCCCAGGAGCCTCCAGGCACAGCCTCCTGTGTAGCCAGGGCTCCTTTGCTGACCGTCTCCCCAGGCGGTCAGACTTACAGCCTATGTAGCGCCTCTCTCCTCATCCATTCAGGCTCCGCCTGCCCTCACTCCTCTGTCCCAAACTGCCAAACTAATGGAGTAACTAACGCTAAATACTTCGGGCGGACAGGACAGACCCAGGCTGCTGCATTTTTCACCATGGTGGGCCCAGCTCCCATTTGCCTGAATAAGCCCCCTTCTGAGAAGGAACTTGACTGCTGCCCAGCAATTTATTCTTCAGTAAAGATGAAATCCTTCTGTTGAGATCAGGAGCTGAGGCTGCCTGGAGAGGTCTGGCAGGCGGGCCCAGCCATGGCACTCCTGAAAGGCCAGTTTCCCTCCCATCAGTCTCTCGGTGTGCCTGAACCCTAGAGACCAGCTGGCGTGTCACCGATGCCCCCTCAGCTGGACGCTACCCGTGGGTGCACTGAGTGCATGCTAAGCAGCGGTTCGGTCTGTGAGTGGGGCTGGAGCCCTGTGGAGATGTGTGTCAACACTAAGCCACATGAAAATTCCTCAGGACTGCAGCCAGCCTATGAAAAACTAAGGACAGCTTCAGCAGGCCCATGGCACTGAAATGGCTAGCAAAAATACTTATTACTCTGTCTCCAAAAATAAACAGGGGCCGGTCACAGTGGCTCACGCCTGTGACCCAGCACTTTGGGACGGTGAGGTGGCGGATCGCAGGGGTCAGGAGTTTGAGACCAACTTGGCCAACATGGTGAAACCCTGTCTGTACTAAAAATACCAAAATTAGTTGGGTGTGGTGATGTGCGCCTGTAGTCCCAGCTACTTGGGAGGCTGAAGCAGGAGAAACGTTTGAACCCAGGAGGTGGATGTTGCAGTGAGCCAAGATTGTGCCACTGCACTCCATCCTGGGTGACAGAGCCAGACTCCATCTCAAAAATAAATAAATAAAAATAAATAAATAAAATAAACGGACTTCTTCAAAATGGTTTGCACACTTTAGCCCAGGCTTAATACGAGGTGACCATTTCTGTTTACTGTTTGAGTAGAAAAGTGTTACCTGTAATTGCAGCTAGTATTTGAGGATGTGAGTTCCTTACTGTCATAGTCATGCTAAGTTTCTGATGTAGGGTGTTCTTCTTCCTTTCTCTGAGGAAGCCCCAGACATTAGTGCTAGTTGTCCTCCCAGCAGACATATCACTGCCACTGAACACAGTGCTTTCCTGCCACGAGGCCTCGTGCCACAGCACTTAAGGTGCCTAGGAGGGTTGCAGGCCTCCTCGGCTGGAAGATCAATGTACAGACTAGCAGCCTGGGCCTGTTAAAGAAACCCCTTGGGGCTGGTAGAGATTACAGGATGCTGGTGGCAATGCAGGGAGCTTGCAGGCAGTGAAGGAAGTCTGTATTATTGAAATCCCAGGTGACCTGGCAAAGGAAACCTCCCGACTCTGACCCCCACTGTGACCTTAGGCACAGGTGACGCTGGGTCAACACAGGCAGATGCAGCCCTGGGGCCAGGTGCCCATGGCCTTTACCCTGCAAGTGCAGGATTTGCAGTCCTGCTTCCCAGGTCCTCAGGGTACAGGGTCTGCAGAAAGAGGCACGTTCTAGCTCTAGTTCAGTACCATCTTGCTGCTGGCCTGTGCCCTTGTGTGGCTCCTAATCTCCCGGGTGTGACTTTCCATCTGTACACCCAGGGTAATTGTCTAATGGAGATGACTGTAAATGCGACACAGGAGATGACAGCTTAAAACGCACTAGCAAGTAAGAATAGCCGTGATGATGATGTAGCTGCTATTGCTGAGTACTCACTGATTCCAGAGCTGTTTTCAGCATTGTAACTGAGCAGCGTTGGGCCTCATGCTGGCTGGCTGCAGGAGCTCAGAGGAAGGAGGCCCCTTCCCTGCTGCGTTTACCTGCTTCCTCCTTCATAATTGCAACTCACTTCACTGGGAGGCCAGAGGGCTCAGCCTGGGACATCTGCACCCATCTCCCAGGGCAGTCTGCCACACAATTCCAGGTCCCAGCTCCACTTCCAGCCTTCCTCTGCCCAAGAAGAGCTAGCTGAGGCAGCCCTTCTCCTGGTGAAGCAGCAGGCTGGCAGAGCAGAGCAGTGCCTGCCAGAGGCTGTGGGCCTGGTGGCCCTGGGCTGTGGGGCCAGGCAGCACTCTGGGAGGAGCAGCGGCTCTTTTGGCTGTTTACCTGCACTTCTCCAGCAGGTGCCATTTATTTATTTTTATTTATTTCTTTTTTTTTTGAGACAGAACAAAATGTCACCCAGGCTGGAGTGCTAGTGGTGCTGTCACAACTCACTGTAGCCTCGAGCTCTGGGCTCAAGTGATTCTCCTGCCTCAGCCTCCCGAGTAGCTGGGACTGCAGGTGTGTGCCACCAAGCCTGGCTAAGCTTTATGTTTGTAGAGATGGGATCTCGCTATATGCCCAGGTGGGTCTGGAACTCCTAGAGTTGGAAGTGATCTGCCCACCATGGCCTCCCAGAATGCTGGGATTCAGGCGTGAGCCAGCGCACCCGGCCGGTGCCTGTTTTAAGAAGACTGTCCTTCACACTGTAGTTCGCATGGACAGGTTCTAGTGACCTTGAGAGGTGGCCATGTGGAGAAATACAAATTCTCTCTTCCCGGGAAGCGGTGGCCCAGGTAGATGGTGGGGCTTTGAGATGGCTGCTGCCTGGCTGGTGTGTTCTCCTAACTGGAGCCTGGAGTCTGAGGTCTGGGGTCTGGGCCCGGAATTTCAGGCTAGGGCTGGATTCAGGTGCAGGGAAGCAGCCTGAGGCCCTGTGCAGGTTCAGATCTTCTCAGCCAGCAGGGTGTGCCCCCACACAGAGGAGACTGGACTGTGGGTGCCAGGCTGGGGAGTGCCTGCAGAGGCTCAAATCAGTGAACCTCTTCTCAGGGAGTCTCTGTAGAGAGTGTGAACTTGAACTTGAACTTAAGTAGAGCATCTTAAGCCAGAGGACCAGGTTTAGCTCTGGCTTGTCCTGCATCAACCTCAGACCCATCCCTCTGGGTTTTAGTGTCCTCATCTGTAAAAGGAGGGATTTGATGGCCCCAGTGTTCCAGCCCTGGCAGGTGTGCATGAAACAGGAGGGGCAGAACTGAGCCCAGTCTGCAAGGAAGCACAGTCACTGTGTGCCACTCGGGAGCTGTTGCCGTGAAACTCCCACTGGTAAGGGTAATTTCTGTGACTGTTATTTCGGCCTTTTCATTGGGCAGGGTCACACACAGTGGCTCCCTCACCAGAGGAGCAGAGGAATGTCAGGCCTCCCCCAACCCCGACCTCAGAGTCCCAGGGGATTGAGAGGAAGGCTTTCTCCGTGGGCGTGCTGGGCTGGGCATGAGGCTTTGCTGCCGAATCTGTGCAGCCTGGTACCTGACACGGAGGCCCGCAGAGCTGTGCAAGACAGGGCCTGTCCGTTCACCTAGGGAGGAGGAGCTGCCACACTACAGCTGAGGTGGGCGGGGACTGAACCTGGGCACCTCTCTGGGAGGCTTGTTTCTGTTGTCCGCCTGGATATCTTCAAACACAGCTATTAGGGGGGGTCACAGAAGTGGCTGGTCCCTTGAGGGTAGCAGGAAGCAGGAAGTCCTGTCACAGACACTTAGTTGGAGAAGGCTGTGGAGGTTGAGTTTTGAGAGGCAGGAAGGAAGTGTGATGGGGAGGTAGGAGTGCAGGGGGACTGGTGAGGACATGGCAGGGGAGGGCCAGATCTGGGGCTGGTGGAGGCGGGAGGCTGTGCCTGCCTGCCTTGACCCTGGCAGGGGAGG